ATGTTTTACTTCGGCTCCGGCTACAGTGACCCCGTGTCACATGTTTTACTTCGGCTCCGGCCCCAGTGACCCCCTGTCACACGTTTTACTTCGATTCCAGCCACAGTGACCCCGTATCACATGTTTTACTTCGGCTCCGGCCACAGTGATCCCGTGTCACATGTTTTACTTTGGCTCCGGCCACAGTGACCCCGTGTCACATGTTTTACTTCGCTCCGGCCATAGTGACCCTGTGTCACACGTTTTACTTCGGCCACGGCCACAGTGACCTAGTGTCACACGTTTTACTTCGGCTCCAGCCACAGTGACCCCGTGTCACATGTTTTACTTCAGCCACGGCCACAGTGACCCAGTGTCACACGTTTTACTTCAGCTCCGACCACAGTGACCCAGTCACACATTTTACTTCGGCTTCGGCCATAGTGACCCAGCGTCACATCCTTCACTTCGGGTCCGGCCACAGTGACCCTGTGCCACACATTTCACTTCGGCTTCGGCCACGGCCACAGTGACTCAGTGTCACGTGCTTTACTTCGGCCCCAGCCATAGTGACCCAGTGTCACATGCTTTGCTTTGGATACGACCACCATCACTCCGATCATTACTTTTTATTATGACTCATAACTAAATATTGCCTATGGTCATCCATACATGTAAAGTTACAGGTTTTTATCTTTTTTTTTTTTACTTCTGTAACTCATTTTTAATATTCTTGTCTCTTTTCCTTTCTACTTACGCACTACCCCTATCATCTCCAACCACATCATTCACAAGTGAATGACTTGGGGGGGGGGGGAATAGTGTAAGAGCAGGTCCGAGGTGCCCAACCTCGGACGTACGACAGTAATTCCTTTACAGCCGGAATGAAGAATAAATCCAGAGCTTCCCGCTTGAACAGCTGCACAGCAATTATGATGGACATCCTCGTATCTAAATATCTCTCAATTTCCCGGTCCCGAAATAACCGTATGGAGATACACATCAGATCCTGAATATCTTGCTTGGCTCAATTTCCCGGTCCCAAAATAACTATCTAGAGATACACATCAGATCCCGAGTATCTTGCTTGGCATGCCACGTGGGTTCCTCATTGGAACCTATAAATACCCCTCATTGGAACCTATAAATACCCCTCAAGGGTCACGTCAAAAAGGTGATTGAAACCTACCCTAAGCTCTTTTTTCTTCCGCTTTAAAGGTAGCCCCGATTATTGCTGACTTAAGCATCGGAGTATCTACCCCGAGGACCCACCTCGGGGCTTTGCAGGTTCATCCGAAGTGAAGACATGGACTGAAGAAGGACTTCTGGTTTGGTGCAATTACAAAAGTCCTGTTTCCTTTTAAAACTTTGTATTGATTTTGATGTAAAACGTGTTTCAATTTTAAAGATAATTTTTTTTATTTATTATTAGGATATTTTTAAAACAATTTTACTCAAGAAAATCCTTCTTTTGATTACCTTAAAAATGTACTCTTTATACTAATTAATGTATTTAAAAAATTAATTTTTTAAATATTAATTTTAGAATTTAAATTCTAAATTTTACTTAATTACACTTATTTAGTACCGACCATTCATCCAGTTCTCGGAATCCTCCTTTTTGCTTAAAGTAGTTTGTACGAGACTTGGCACACTTGCAAACAATAAGTTATTTTTTTGGGGGTCAATTTCGAAGATCCTGGTTCGTCCTCTTTTTCCATCATGTTGTCTACACTAAGTACTATTCTTTTGAAGTGTAAATTATTTTCTATCAAAGTATAGTACTTTCTTATTAAATGCTACAAGTACATTGTTGTGTATGGTTTTTTCTACAGGATAGCAGGGTATTAAAAGGAGAGCAATAGGCTAGGAGCACTCGCTCCTTTCACTCGTCGATGGACACCCGAGATTTGTTGAAACCACATCATCCTTGCTTTTAAATTAAGATTAAATCCCCAATTTGGTTCCTGAACTATTATACGAACTCTCCATTTGGTCCCTAAACTAAAAAAATCTCTAATTTGATCCCCAAACTATTGTGCAAATCTCTAATTTGGTCCCTACTGTTTACTGATTTACCTCAAGTTGGTCATTCTATACAAAAACAACTGACGTGTTTCGTTATTAACATGACATGTGACAGTTAAATTACTGTTTTTTGCCGTTAAATACTAGACGTGTTAGCTTTTTTTTGTACGGAAGGACTAATTTGGGGCAAATTGGTAAATAGTAAGGACCAAATCAGTGGTACGTACAATAGTTCATGGACCAAATTAGAGATTTTTTTAATTTAGGAACCAGATCAGGGGTCCGTATAATAGTTCAAAGATCAAATTGGGGATTTAACCATAAATTAATTCCCAGCAACTTACATAATGGGTTATCTTAAAGTCTTTCATAAAATTGAGTCTTCTCCCTTAAACAAGCCAAAAAAAAAAAAAATCAAGTCTTCTTCTAAAATGAACTTTTTGATTGATTGATTGATTGAACATGGGACGGGAGCTTTCTCTCTTCGATTTGAATATCTTGAAGTTTCTTGAACTTGTTGAGTCTGAGTGGCCTCACAATAAGATTTAAGGCTTCTTTTTTTTATCATCTGAATCGTTTCCTTCTCTTTCTCTCCACTTCCCCAGAATCCCTAGGCAAAAACCTAATTTTAGTCCCTCATCTTATCAAGTTTAAAGATGTTAACCCCTTACCTTACTAAATTTGTAAGTTTTAGCCCATTGCCTTATAACATGATACTTTTAACCCATCACCTATTAAAATCAAAGAAAATAATCCTCATTTTATACTGACTATTAACTCTGTTAGTTGAAAGTAAATTTTCGTTAACTAACAATCAACTAATAGTCAATTAATAGAATTAACGAAATATTATAAAGTTAGTTTTGTTAATTCTGTTAGTTGAAAGAAGGTTTTTGTCAACTAACAGTCAACTAATAATCAGCTAATAGAGTTAACAGTTAATTAACAAAACTAACAAAATGTTACAAAATTAGGGTTATTTTCTTCAATTTTAATAAGTGAGGGGTTAAAAGTGTCATATTATAAGGTGAGAGGCTAAAATCTACAAATCTAGTAAGGTGATGGATTAAAAATATCATAATATAAGGTAGAGGGCGAAAATCTTTAAACTTAATAAAATGAGGGGTTAAAAATAAGCTTTTGCCGAATCCCCACCATTACTTGCAGCTTTCACTTGTAGAAATACCCATCCATTTTCACCCCACCATCATCTATTAAATATAGTGGCGAAATTCACAACTTACCAGGTGTCATCACTTCCAATTCAACACCTATCATAACCAATAGCCACCCTATCTTATAGCCATAATTGTACCTTGAAGTAGCCAAATCCACCAACCCCTATTTCCCCTTGGGATTCTCAATCAAGCGTTTCTAACCCACTCCCACACGACCATGACCAAAATGAAGGAGAAAGAGGAGCTACCTGTTGTGACAACAAAACTGACCTGCTGCCTCCTTATTGATTGTTGCAAATAGCGCGTCATTGCGATTTTTTCTCTGAAACTTCTTTGTTTATGTCTTTTAAACCTTACTTCAGACTAAGTTCTTTTGGGCCAAAACATCGAACTTTTAATTAATTTTAACATTTAACAATATAACTGCCTCCTTAAGTTGTCGATATATCTATTTGACAGAAACGTTGACGTGGCTTCAGCATATCTCAAGTGTTCGTTAGCAAGTGTAGGAGCAAGTGCTCTTAACACTGCCCTTAAAAGGATTATAGTCAGCATTTTTGTGTTTGGTTGCTTTTAAGAAAAATGATTTTTGGGTGATTATAATCAACTATATAAAAAATATAGGTAGTTTTACCTTTTTTAGTTTTGTTACAATTGGTATAATATTATCATAATCAATTATAAACTAATATCTAATTGATCACAAATCAAAATACAATGTGATTTGTAATTTGTTACAAACTAAAATATAATTAGTTATATAAACTTCAACTTTTGTTTATAACATAATCAATTTTAACTAAAACATAATGAGTTATACAAACTTAAACTAATTGGTTATTTGATAACATAACCAACTATGTGAATTGGTTCTTGTTTGCACCATAAATTACATTTTTTTAAGTGAAACCATGTATTAATGGGTAAGATGAGGTCACGTCCCAAATTTACTAGTTGGGATTCAAATTACTTGCAACGGTGAAGATTATCTAGTTTGTTTGTATTTTTAATTTCTCTATAATTGCTCACTTTTGCTTACAGATTTTGAATTTTAGCATAGATCCCAATAAATTTAGGTTGTTTTTAGCATTCAAGTAGCCAAATTAGTTTGTGCAATTGCTTCTTTGATTTCCTTTCATGCAATAAACATCAAGTTTACTTTAATTTACATCTCATTAAGTTCATTTAGGATCTATTAACTTTAAATTTACAATTGTGGTAAAGTCTTTGAAATTGTCCAAGGCAGATTAACAACTCATTTTGCAGAAAGGCATCCTTCCCTCTTACAAATCATTTGAAGGGCACAAAACTCAATCT